TAAGGCTTCGAAAATTGTACCTGAATGGAATGCTCGTCTATAAATGTTTAGCCGTTCTCAAGCAATAGAAGATTCTAGGGGATATTTGCTTCCCCACACAGAAATTTTACAGAAAAAGGTCTTGGGTGCCCCTGATTGAAAGGAACATTTTACCCGAAACAAACTAACAAAGGTTAATTGTTCCTTTATAAATGTAGCTATCCCGCATTGCAGGTGCATCATTTACGGAACTTAGCTCAGAAAATAGACAATGTAGGGACGGACCATTAGAAAAGAAATTTGGGAAGGGGTTGGAGAATTTTCAAGCTGCAGGAATTTTTTTTCGTCATTAAATTCGGTGTATGAATTTTTTTTAGGCCGTAGCATGAATATTTTTAGGGCTAATTGGCGCGCATGAATTTTTTTCATTTAATTTTACCTTGCCCAAATATTTTTTTTGTACTTTGCCCGCCCCCCCGCCCATAAGCTTTCTAATGGTCCGTCCCCTAGAGAAAAATTTTTGGTTACTAAAAAAATCTCAGCTTAGAGAAGATGTTAGAAATAGCTTGCAGAACAGGCGCTTTTTTCAGTTTTGAAGCTTTTCTGGCGTTCTGCAGTGAACTGTGATCAAGATAGAGCCCACCAGGTCTGGTGATACACTGAAATCAACTCGTCTTCACAGGCGAAAAAGGGGAATTTTCTCGCCTTTATGACCGGAAATTAATGCCGATAAAACATTTTCTGATAAATGCCGCAGTCAATCTCGTTGCGCTTACTGACAGACGCTTTCCAAATAATCTTTCTTATCCTTTGCCTTAGTGGGAATTGATAAAAGAAAGAACATTCAAAGCACTTCATCTCCATTCGTTTCCTGGCAGTTTGAACTTTTTTTATGTGGTGGGCTTTTGTTATTGACATTCTCCTCGGATGTAGTAGTGGTTTGTCAAAATTAACTAGTAAATCTCGGGCTGTATTGGCAAGCACCTTGTAAGGAGGTGTAGCTAATAGATTAGACTGCGTGCAGTCTCTCTTTTTCAACGAGTACTAAGGAAAAAAGAAGGTAATCTACCGGTAAATTGGCCTTATAAAAAGGGACAACCAAAAACTTCGACTGAGTCATTACCACCTACAGTTATGGCCGCACCACTTGAGCTTTCTTGCAAGCATGTATTCACTGGAATTTTAATATACCAAGCTATAACTGTTACGTAATCCACGTGGTGGTGTATTTGAATCACATGAACTGGGAAGCATTTGAAATGAAGATTTCGTTTTCGTACCCTTCTTAAATTCAAAAAGTGTCAAGAAAACTAATTATAGTTGTGTCTGCATGAAGGTAAAAGGCAGTTTGCATGAATGCATTTTCTTCCGGAGAGCTTTGTTTCAAAGGTAGGCGCGTTTACTGTGCTTGTCCTCCTTTAGTAAACTTTCTCCTGTCCGTCTTTCAGCTAGTTTTGTTAACACGGCAAAATGAAAATGAAAATTGACCAAATTGAGTTAGCCTTGGTTACGAGCAGTAGAGCGTGACAGCTACATCCGGTTTTGATTTTTTGCGCTGTGGAGCGTTGCCAACCTCGTGGCACTGTCGCTTTATTGTTCAATCAAAGGACCATTTGGGGTTTGGATTTTGTTAACAAGCAATATCAATTCCAGACCAATTTTAAGGGTCAATGCCTCGTTTTTACCACGTCTCTAAACAGGAATAATGAGTGGGACTGGTCTGATACAAGTGAAAATTCAAGAGAAAGTCGATGCCATACCAGGCGAACGCGTCCGCGCTGTTGGCATGTGTTTTTATAAGCCTGTTAAAGAACTTAACTCTGGGAGCAGCTATAGATTGCCACAACGCTCAAAACCCTCAAGATTCTTCGTGCATCAAGGTCAAAGATGGAACGCGTGTTAGAGCAACATTAAACAAAGATTTTGCTTATCTACTTGCTTCATTTTTGGACACAAATATGGTTGAGGAGCCAACGTGGTGCGTATTATTTCATTTTTCTTCTTTTTGTGCTTTGGTCATTGTCATCCATTTTGCCCCTGGCACTACCAGATGTTGGCACTCAGGTCTAACCTTGAAAGGTCCTTCACCAGTTATTGACCTCTCAATGTTACATTCTTGTTCTTTAGACATTAACTTCAGCTGATCTTCTCCATTCTCATCTTGATACGGTTATTCATAGATTCTGGATCATTGTTGAAAAAAAAGCTGTCGTCAAGCCCCACTTTTTCCCTCACACTGGAAATCATCCCGTCCTTCATGTCTTGCGCAACGTAGTTTAGAAAGTGCCAGTAAAATTGTGCATGGTCTACACTTGGTAATTGCCTTACATCCATTTCTCTTTTCGTCCAGACGGGATAAAACGATTCTGAAAGGGCATCAAAGTCGGTGGCACAGGAGGGGTCGATAAGGCCAAGCTCTTTTGTTGCCTTGGAACCAAAAATGTCGTCTATAAAGATTCATTCACAAGCTTGGTCAACTCCAAGATCCCCCCACTTTCTTTGGATGTCTTGCTCTACGTGGCCTTTGCAGTACACCATGGTAGCAATGGGAAATGAAGAGGAAAACCCTTTCCTAAGAGCAACGTCTCTGTCTGAGCCAATCGCCAGGACGTTTGAGAGGTCAGTATTCAGCGACACAAGTAACGATAAGAAGTACTGGTATGTTTCTGCCTTCTTCTGCATATGAACCATTGTTGGCCCTAACAACGTTGGTGGCTTTCCATATTTCCTGTCTACCAAAAGGCTGTGCTTATACGTAGTTGGAGTAACGTAAAAGTTCCCAATGTTAAAGGTTGTGTTTATGCACAGTATCTGAGGGGGTAGAAAGTGCGCGGTACAAAATCACCCTACATCGTTCAGTTGCCTGTTGCTGGCCAATAGACATGCTGGTTCAGGACCAACTTGCACTCGTCTTATAAATGGTGCAGAATCGTTTGCTTCAACACAGGACATCTTTTTTTTTATTTTATGTTTATTGATAATCACGTTAAATAATTACATTTACAATACTACAAAAACAAAACCAAAAAAAACACTTTAACAAGAGACATTAACAGAGTAAAGCAAAAATAATTGTCAAATTATTACAGGGCTAAAAGAAATTATAAAAAAGTACAACAGGGCAATGAAATAATACGGAGTTAATACAGTTGACTTAAATAAGGCGTCAGTATCCACTTTCTTTTAAAGAGTTCTTTGTTGCTGATTTTTTCTTCTGTTTCATATTTAGCGATCATCTTGGCTCTAAACCCATAAATGTTTGGAAGGATTTGTTTGCTCCTGCAGTCCCACAAATAGAGTTTTCCAATAATTATAAAATAGTTCAGCAATTGAAGTAAATGGCAAGCATTTTCCGTCAAAATTCCAAAGAGCACATTTCCAAGCAGAGACGAATTCGTTGATTCAAAATAAGGCACCAATATAGTTCAAATTCAATCTAAAACTGTTTAGAACGTGAGCAGTGATAGAACAAATGGGTTAATGATTCAGGTTGATTGTCACAGAAAGTACATAAATCATTTGTTCTAAAACCTATTTTATACAACTTTGTATTTGTGTAAAGAATTGAGTTAATTACTTTGTACTGGAAGGTTTTAACATACGATTCGACAACAATAGAGTGTGGCAGCTTAAATATTTGCTTCAGATTGTCGCCGTTACAATGAAAGTTACTCTGTAATTTTTGAATAATGTTGGGCGGTTTAGCTTTTTCTCTGATGAGTTAGGTTGTAGTAATCCTTTGATTTCCCTTTCGTAACATCAAATTATTGTCACGCACCACAAATGTTGGAGAGTTTATGGAAGGATACCTGTCATAACTTCTAAATGATAATGGAATGGACCTACGTAAGCCAGCCCATTCTAAAATATTTGTTTTGCACATTTTTTTAGACAGTTGATTATAAGAATCAGTACTGTTCAGACTAAATGAAAGATCCTGAATGCAAATGACTCTCGCATTAACATAATATTTATAATAAACCGGCTTGTTTTCTACTTTTATTTCTTTGTTATTCCAGATTATCGTTTTCCAATCTTCTTCAGTGGCAAACGTTTCACGAAATTGCGACCACCATAACAAAAGCTCCTGATAAAATTGAGAAGGAATTGTGTAATCCGAGATATTGTTGTTGTGGTTGAAAAAGAACAATCCCCAACGGAGCTCAGTATGTGTTGTAGGTAGCTTTCCCAAGGTCCATTAGTACCACTGAAGATACTTTTTAACCAAGCTAATCTCAATGATTTAACCATGCACTCGAGATCAACCATTCTTAGCCCTCCCTCTTCGTATTCGTTTATAACTGAAGCTCTTGTTACCTTATCTACACCTTTCCAGAGAAATTTAAACAGTATTTTATTCAATTCTTTTAGCAATTCCTTGGGAGTTGGAAGGATCGAACAAATGTAAATGTACTTAGGAATAAGAAAAGATTTGATTATGGTCACCTTACCGTATATCGACAGGCCTCTAGCGGACCATATATTAATAAGTTTTTTAATTGAATCCAGTCGTTCTATAAAATTATTTTCTTTAAGCAATTTTTGGTCATAAGTAAAATATACACCTAGAGCTTTTATTGGCTTGTCCGGCCATTTAATACCGAATGCTTTATAATGTCTCTTAGATCCAATCCACATACCTTCAGTTTTTGAACAGTTAATCTTGAGTCCGGAGAGAATTTCGAATTTGTTAAGTAGTTCAAATAATCTTGTGGCTGAGCTTGTGTCAGCTAACACAGCGGTTGTATCGTCTGCAAACTGTAAAAGCTTAGTTTCCTCAGTTCCTATCGTGGTTCCTTTAATCGACTCTTTTTGCCTTATAGCAATTGCTAAAGTTTCTACAGCAATTATAAATAACTAATGAGAGAGTGGATCACCCTGCCTAACACCGCATTCCAGAGTAAAAAATTTATAACTTTTTTCTAAGTTTCAAAAATATTTTGTGCTTTTCTCTCCATGTTCATGCCATCTAGCACGTGCTCGTATTATTGCTTTTGTTTTTTTCTTTGTAAAACGACTCC